GGTGGAATTCACCCATATGTATCATCAGACTGTCGCACCACTGCCTGTGCTAGTATAAAAATGGAATTCTGGTATTACAGATTATCTTTGAACTTGGAAGCCTGATGCTCAATACCGGCTTTTGGTATGTTTTTGTGCAATCCTAGGACACAACTGTCTGCATGATAAGATAATTTTGATTAAATGAGCTGCTATAATGGTAACATTCTTATGGGTTGTTTTCATTTTCAGCAAAGAATAAGCCAAATGTGCTGTGACATATCTACTGACTGAAAACCTTAGCCACTCAATTATACCAGATAAAGGATTCCTTTGAATTTTCTCACAGGACTTTATTGTCATTTATGTGCCATTAAACATAAAAGAAGTATTTCACACTAATCAAATTAATTTTGTACTTATCTTTCCATACTCTAAAAAAAATAATAATAATGAAGTTCATCACTTTAATCCCAAACTGGCCTTCTTTCATTAGAATATGCTTTTTAAAGGTTAATGTATTGTGTGTTTTGAAAAATACTTCCCAAAAAGATGTTTTGTAAACCATGCAGAAAGTACCAAATGAACCACATGCCATTTTGCTCCTTTTGTGGTATTTTTATTAGCCAGCTTTGTTATATGTTAAAAAAACCCAACTTTCAGGAGACTTTTCCCTGTCTTACAATTTCAGCCCTGCTATCCTACAGCTACCAAAGGGGTGCTGTTGGGGGGGGGGGTGGTGTGTGGCACAAAAGTTTAAAGATTAAGGTTTGGATGTTGCAGTATAGTGACTGTGACACGTTGAAAAAACTCAACATTGTTTTAACTGCTTGACACCAGTAAGTGAAAACACATGCTGAGTTTAACCTCTGGTTAGGAAGAAGTATTACATAATATAGCATAGCCAGAAAATTTAGCTATGAATAAAATTAGCCCATTCCTTTCACAAATGTCAATGGTAAGTTTGGAAGTATACTGTAAATGCAGTGTTCACTCTCAAAGGGATGTCAGTTATAATTACCATAAATACAAACCTTAGCTAGCAGTTATCTACAATATTTTCTAACATTCCTGTGTACTTACAACAACAAAAAAAAACTTAGAGTAAAACTATTATTTCTCCCTCTTATCCCCACATTTGACAATCATAGAAACAAGAAAGTTGTGGATCTAGTTTTCCCTACGTGAGTCTGTAAATCACACTCTTTTACATGGCTTCATAAGGCATGTCAAGTTTGAACTCTTTCCTTATGATGGCAGCAACCAGGAGGAAGGTGAATTAAGGTTTCCTGAGACCTTCCTGGAAAGCAGAACAGGACAGGCCTGAATCCTGAAAAGCAGAAAAAGGATGGGCCTGAATTCCAATATACCTGATGACTAATTCAAATAGTTGAAAAACCACAGAGGTCAGAAACACAGGGGGAAAAAAACCAAACAAAACCAACAAAATCAAACCAGAAAAATATTCAGACTCTTATTTTTAAAAAAATCATAAAACTGTAAGTTTATAAGGCAGGATGAACCCCAAATTCTTTACAGCTCTAACAAAGAAAAACACGAACATACCTAAAAGCTATCAGAAACAGAGATCATAGTGAAAAAGTGCATTTCTATGCACATCTGTGTTGTAAGTGGAAAGCCAACTGGCAAAATGAAAAACATGAAATGCTCTTGCACTAAGACCTTGTTCCACAACTGTTGCCTTCAACAACATTTGCAGCAGGTCCAGCTGGAAAGATGACAGTGAAACACAGTTTACAAGGCAGTACAATCTTGTGCATTATGTCCTGAAACTTGTTTATTCTTGGTTCTGTGGCTTTGCTTTTTCATCTCCCTCTCAGATTCAGGATGCTCTGCTTACTGACTCCTCCTCTAAGTGAAGATCTTTCGTCTATACTCAATTCCTGTCTAGAGAGACGATGTTGCATTCCTCAAGGATGAAATGTTTCTGTTATGCGAAATCATAAAAATTAGAGCAAGTATGACAATTTCTAACTCTGACACCTATGCGTTACAACTGTTTCCACCCATCATTAGAATATTTCAAGTACAACAGTGCTGAACTGAAAAATTTTATGTTGGATAGCACTGGCATGGTGGCATAAGGGAAGAGACAAAAATAAGCGGAAAGCCTCCAAGTCTCTCTTCTTTCTGATGAAAAAGAAAGCTTTGGACATAGTTGAAGGGACAGCGGATCAAATACTTGATAAAAGACCATCCCTCATCACACCATCATTTCTTGCCCCTCACATAATCTCTATAGGCACTGACTACACAATTTTCTTAGCAGCTGATACCTCAAACAGAAACGCATGAAACAAACATAATTGTTAAAAAGGCATGGCCTCCACAGTAAAACACAATACTCACCAACCTTCCCTTTCCAATTGCATTTCCTTTACTTGTGTCTGTAAAATCTTAATGTAGAAAGAGTCTGAATTATGACACAGCGTATAACTGCCTCATCACTTGTCATTTGCTACAGTACATGTGACAAAGAACTGCAAGGGAAAGGGTGCTTAGGGTACTAGGACCAGGTATAAGCAGAGGCCTATTGTCTATACAGGCAAAAGTATTATAATGCAAAATACATAGAAACAGCATAAAATTCCCACTGGAAATTTAAACTGATATTTCCCCTATTTTGAATCCTTAAGTCATGTTGGTAGAGTTTCCAAATTATTCCTCTAACAGTGTATTAATTTTTGAAGTCAAAAGAATTTATTAATAAAGAAGAAATAACTCTTTGTCATTCTAGTCAAACATAGACTTGTGGAGGTGAAAGTAAGAAAATATACTGAACAACATATTTGCACACAATCTCTCAAATAGCTCTGGAAGCCACTGACATCCAAAGGGTGTACTGGCTTTGTTCCTTCACAGCTGCAGGAGGCAAGATGTTCCACCTTGTATCGCTGAAAGGAAATCCCAGCTCACGAGACCAGGGATCAGCGTGTTTCACCTCCTGGAGAGAAGACTTCAGCACTACAATTCCTAAGCACTAGTAACAGCAAGATTTACACTGATAACCTGGGCACAGGAGTATTTGCACCACCAAAAAGTGAATTTGGCCAGATTGTTTTCCCTTATGTTAGGAAACCAATTCCACTGTTCCCCGTAGCGCAGGAGTGACTCTGGATCCTCAGTTACATAGTTCATGACTCGAAGAGTACAGCAATTTATTGGAATTTAAGCTTGTTTAGTAGGGCAGAGTAGCCCTCTTAACAGAATACTACCACTACATTTCCTCATTTTAAAAATACTTTAAGATCCAAATATACACTTCGCTTACAAAAAAATTCTGTACTCCCTGTCAGACAAGAGAGAGTTGTAGAAAAAGACAGTCTTTTGAATATTTCTAGATAACAGCTAGGTACTAATACACTTGTTTTTTCAATGCAGTCCAATGAAAATAATAACCTGAGAGGCAGCTGCAAACAAAAGAATTAGATTGATGTTTCAATACTGCAATGGGAGAATCTTTAAAAAGTCGTACCATCTAAAAGAAATTAAGTTTCCACCTGCAGCTATATGCATTTGGCAAACAGAACTTCACTTCTGCAATGTTATTTTAGGACAGGAAAAAAATGCATCCCAGAGTTAATCTCCCACTGACTGCAGTGGATCAGTAGCTTTGTCTGAATTTCAGAGTTAACATAAATTTACAGCCACTAGTCTATGGTAGTGAGCAGAAAGTCCAGTGAAACTGTTTTAAAAGACAAGCATTAGAAAAGTTCCTTCCCTGAAAGTAGGCAATGCATACAAGGTTCCTCTCTGTTCAATATAATCCTCATAAACTGCTACAGTAGTTTTCTTACATATTGCTTTTTTGATAAAACTAAGGTCTAACAGTCCGCTTGACCTGAACAACGACTGCATATCTATCTGTTACTCACAGACTACACATTGTCCCACTATTAGCAGTATGCAGAAAACTCCACATTTGCTACAGTAGATGAGCTTAAGGAAAAAAAAAATTAAAATCTTTGAAAAAAGTCTCTTGTGAAGGGTTGGGGGGTGAAAAATTACCTCTTCCTCCTAAATAACTTTAGGTTCACCATCTATGGAACAGAATATCCTAGGAAGCCCTCAAAGTGCTGATTTCTTAATAAATGTTCTCATAAGGAACTAAATCACTGCTTCCTTTCTAAACGTTACTGGTTGCTGGAGACTGCAGATGTAAAATGCATTATAAAGCACAGTGGACTCAGGCAAGCTCTTCTACAAAGTAAGAGCAATATGTGCAGTACAGAAACAGTTGTGAAAGCGCTGTTTTAATGCCAAGGTACTACAAACTGTTTTACGATCTAGATATAGAAATATTCTTTTCATTTTATGCTATGACCGTTCTTCCTGCAGTAATAAAACACTAGTAAAATGCCAAAGTTACACAGGTCACATTAGCAATCAAGAAAAGAGATCGCTGCCAGCTTTGCAAATCTACTGTACTTCCAGACTCCAGAGGAAAGGAATAGTTAAGCAAGTATTCACACAGGTTTGGGGGACTTTCTTCCTGTTGTGGAAATTTTAATAAATCATATTCCTCTCCCTCAAAATGCATGCAACCCGAACTACAAAATCAAATTCCTATTCAATTGTTAAGGATGGATACAAAGGGAAAGCATAAAAGTTCTTTCAAGACAAAACTGAAATTTTCCACCAACACCACAAGGTGCTTCTAAGTCACATTTTCTTTAAGATCTTAAACTACAAACCTGCACAATGCTGTCTAAATAATTATAAAATCATTAAATACAGTTACTTTGTTTCATGGTACTTCTGACTAGAGTCACAAGATCCCATGAAAACTTTTGCGCTTGTTTAATTCAAGAGCTTAAAAGTTACTCTCATGTACCTGGACCTTGCCCTGTTGACTGATCTTCTTTCATCTTTTTCATTATCTTTAATCATTCCTAACATGTTGAAAGCAAATTTCCATGGCAAAACACAAGCATTAAAAAACAAAAAGCCCCACAACAGAAAAACAAACAAAACCCCAGAAAGTTGTCATAGCTACTTGCCTCTTGGCAATTTCTGAGCATTTCCCAGGTTTAGTGCAATATATCCACAGAAAAGGAGAAAGACCAATCTTGACATCATGGTCACAAGCCCAACCTCGCTGTGGGAATGATTCTGACAGGTACCACACAAAAGCACTGCAGCTGCTTTTAAGTGAACTGTTCTCTCTGTGACAAGAGGCAGCAACACTTTGACACAAGCTTCGTTTACACAGTGGGAGGAGACAGGATGACATCATTCACTCCCACTGGAAAAGGAGAATTAGCATTAAAAAAAAAAAAAAAAAAAAAGACAATAAGCCCCCCCCTACGTATGCTCTTGGATAACTGTTTTGTGATTATAAGAGGAAGAAGTGTTGTTTGGTTATTTCATAACTGTGCACAAATCCAGACTTAAAATTCTGTGATTAAAAGGCTGGAATTGTCATACTTAAACAGATACCTATGTTTGAAATAGTTATCATAAGCTCCCCTTGTGCTCAAGGGGGAGAAGAAATAGGCGCATCTAGGATGAAATTTATCTGGTCTACTACAAATGTCAACATTACAGTGAAAGGATTATCCTCTCTAAAAGGTCTTCATTTAGGGATGTGGACTGAGATGATACTCAGTTGCATAACTAGTATCTCCACTTGGCCAGATGAAAACTGAAATGTCTGAAACATCTACAGAGCGTTGCTACATTTTTTTCCTTTGAAGAACCGGAAAAAGAGAAATAGCATAAAAAAAAAAAAAAAAAAAGAGACTATCAGGCTCCCCCTACAATAACTTTCTGGGGTCTTTCCCTCTCAGGATAAGAGATAACCGCTTGATCACTTAAATTTCATGCAAATAAAACCAGGAATATCAAAACTTCTATTAACTGAAAATTGATGTGAGACATTTTCACTGTTTTATCCAAGAAAGCTGGAATTAAAATGCAAAAATAACATTCACAGTATGCAGAAAACTGTTTGCTGAGAACAGAATTTGATCCTTCTCACAATTGAGAAGTTGGGAAGGAAAGGGTGAAGCAGAAGAAAAAGGTTACAACTGTGTAAGGAAGAATTTAGTCTCAGTATCTGGAAAACATCCCAAAAGAGATTAAATCTATTCAACCAAGTAGAGATATCTCTCTCTCCCCCCAAAAAACCCCAAAACTAAACAACACATGCCACCCCCCCCAAAAAAAAAATCCAAACAACAAAACCCCAAAATCAAACTAGTCCCCCAAAAGGAAAAAAAACCACAACACAACAACAATCAAAACCAAACATATCCATTACTTGCAATATGTAAAACTCTTCATTATGCTTGGTCTGTTCCCACTTGCCTGGACCTGACATTGTCCTACTTTCATACGGTGTTCCACAAGAACAGAAAAATCATAGCATTAGTGCCTGGCCTGGGTAGAAACAAAGCAGTTTAAAATAAAAGGGTAATATATTAAAACATACAGGAGCATTTATTGAAAAAACAGGTTAGTACTATATTTAAAAGACCCCACATGCTCCATACTTCAGGAAGAACTTCAAAATATAAGTGAACAATAACAGTCCTTCAGGCAAAACCAAGGAAATGCAAGCTCTTCTAACCAGTATGGACGGCACACAGCTGTAACAACAGCAGTTTGACAGTGGAAATGTTTTCCATCCTGATCACATCCTCTTAATTCTGACATAAGGAAACCTTTTGCTGATTCACTAACTCAAATCTGGGAATAACGAGTGGGAAGTTACTATTATAGATAGAACTAAAAAAAAATCCCCTAACACTGTTACCTCAAGAACCTCTGGGAGGATTCAGATCCTGAATATGTACACTATGAAAAGATAAATACAACAGATACAATTTGGATGAGGTGAAAAGATGTTTAGAAGGCCATACAGTTGGACAGCAGTCTCCCAAAACAGTGACCACACCTGATGGCGAAAGAATTTCAAATGACGGAAAGCTGTATACACACAGCAAATGTGCCATTCTTCTTTTTTTGGTTGAAATACTGTTTTCAAAAATGTTCCAGAAAGTACATTCTATTTTTTCCTCTTCAAAATTAAAATTAAGAAATCAATCATTTGATGGAGTAGTCTCTCGGGAGAAGTAACGGGAAAAATTACTTCTTGGTCACACACAGCTGTCTTTGTATTACTGTAAGGTGGACTCTACTGGTTTGTCTTATGACAAATTCACTCACCTTTTAAAGATCACAACAACACCTTTCAAAAAAATATACAAAGGCCAACTTCTATTCAGAAATATCTCTGTGAAACATATTAGTTATTTGGCTACCTAACAAAATGGGTTTTATCCCCTCTCTCAGGGATAAACATACTCCCATTCCTACTTTCATAAACACTTGCTTCTTTGCTGCCAGTTACACCTTTGGCATTATCCAAATACTTCTTTGTTTAGTATGCCATAGAGATATTTAACCTTCCCCTTGAAACCTTGGCAGACTATTCATGTCGCTTTCCCTCTGATCACTCCTATAAAAAACAGCTCTGCTCAGCCCAGAGTTCAAAAACCTACACCGTGATGCATTTCCTTATGTCTTATCAAGCATAGGCTTCACCAATGGCAATTATGGTTCGATAAGCAGGAGCAAGTGTAAATTTCTGTCAACTATATGCCAAGGGTCCAAAAATCAGTGATATCGTATTCTCTTACACTTGTCCAATATGCTCTCCACATCTGCATCATCTATGTGACCAGTGATTTTCTCCACTTATTTTCCTACAGGACTGACCTTTCCTAGGAAACCTCTGTTATAGGAAAAATAAAAACCACACCAGTTTCTGCTATCCTCTTTCCTAAATCACTCTGCTGTTCACTGGATGCTAACATGGGAAAAGAAGGGAGTTCCTGGGACTTCAAGCACTATCCTGCACTTCTGGATGCTTCCATAATGCCATTCAGGTATTAGATTTCTCCTTTTGTTGGAGGGCTGCTCCACAACCTCCATTTAAACAGAGACAGCATCTGGTTTCAGTTCACAGAAATAAGAACTGTATGTCACACTTCACAGCAGAAATTATCTAACCCAGAAATTCCTCAGGTTTCTCTCATCCACACAAACCTGAAATTATATTACCCACCCTTTGTCTCCTCAGAAGGAAAAGATTAAACAAAGAAGATTCAGTTAATGACAGTTTTGTATTATTATACCTTTAGCAAAAAAGGCAAGAAAACCGAGATAAGTGCAATTTTGAAAAGTCTCGAACGGACCAAATTTGTTTGGGAAAGGTCAAAACCTCTGATCCCCTAATGATTCCTCCTCTTCAGCACCAAATTAATGCTTAAGTAACAAAGTCAAGTACTCAAAAGTTTATTTGCTATTTGCTTACCTCAACTTCAACTGAGTCTCTCTGGGGTAGACCTTAAAACCAGAGATTCCAACAAGATGGTATCACAGCTAGTCTGGGAGCAGAACAGAGCTTTTCTAGTTCTATTTTAATAGTTCCCAGACCAGCAAGTACAGTGAAAACAAGAATATGGGAAGGAAAAGGTGGGAGGAAGGAGGAGGGGAGAGCACGAGACAGGATTTTACATTTTGTTTCCAAATACAAATATGCTTTTGTTGAGATTTGGGCTCAGTTCCAATTCCCCTATCATTCCTGATTATTTTGACAAGCGAAAGCCAAGGTGACTCAACTCCTTACTGTTCTAATTTAAAGCAGGAAGCATAAAGCGTAACCTTAAAAACCAAATCCTATCTTTAGTCTGAAAAGCACAATAATGCCATACTGAGCTCTCTAAGAGTAAGGACTTACAGCACGCTTGGTCTGACATTTTTCACAGCATTTCTGGTTGATACTGTACCTTTCACCAGTGCTGTCAATTCTTTGAGAATTGCCTTTGTCATAAAATATGCTATATAAATGTTAATTATAATTGTCATTCTCTCATGTGTGACTCAATTATTGGACTCTTTTTCTTGCAAATGTCACGGGATCTTCTCTAAAGGCCTTCAGGAAAAGAGAGATGCCAAAGAACATTCTTTCAGATGTGTTACTTAAAAAAGAAAAAGAAGAAACAAAAGAAAATCTTAACTCTACTTTCTGAGAGTCTGCAATTACTCCTTTTCCGCTGCCCCACTCTTATTTTGATGAGCAAGCATTTGAATTCTCATGCTATCAAAAATGCAGGGTCATATGCTAATCTATTGGTCAAATAAGACAGCATATTTTTATGCTGTCTCATTTGACAGCATAAAAATGGCAGACAATGTCAGTGCATTCTAATATCCTGGTCCCAAACCGAGTTTCAGATCTCCAAATGAACGGGATAAGAGACAAAGTGAAAGGAAGAAAACCAGTCAAAAGGGACAGACAGAACAGCTGGTTCTTGTGACATTTTGTTACATAGTTCATCAAACCGTTCCAGCTCTCACTCACTTATAATTTCAGACAGTGACTCATCTTTATTAACAGGCTGTGCATTTCACCAATGTTTTGCATTATATGGACTGAGGTAACAAAAACATTTATTTAGCTTCTCTATGAATTTATCAACTTACCTTATTGTTCTCTTTGTAACTCAAATAACCCAGTACACTCAATTCTGCGGTTTCAACAATATTATCATGATCTATCATATGGAGAACCAGTGTGATACCAGGTTTTCAACTCTGCCACTCCTCCCTCAGTCCCCAGACAGTATCATTACAGGGGTTATTCCCACCCAGGTACAGGATTTTGCAGTTGTGCTTCCTGAATTTCATAAGGTTTCCATCAGCCCATTCCACCAGCCTGCCTAGGTCCCTCTGAGTGGCAGCCCTGCCCTCAAGAACATCAAGTGGTCATCCCAATTTTCTGTCACCTGAAAACCTGACAAGAGTTCATTCTGTCACCTCCTCCAAGTTACTGACAAAGATGTTAAAAGGATAGATCCCAAGATAAGCATTTGTGATATTCCAGTTGTTGCCAGCATCTAGGTAGTATATGATCCATTAACTACTGCCCTCTGAGCCCAAGCAACCAACCACTGACTTACACAACTAGTTGATCACACCCTGTATGAACCACTTAGATGTATACTCCATAAAATACACTGTGTGTCCTACAATACATATGTAAAAATACTATCAAGAAACCAGGTTCTTTGAGCAAGTACTCAATACGTTTAATATTTTCTTGAAGCAGTCCTCATGTGAAGGCTTCACCTTATTGTTACATCTTAACAGAAATAA